TTTATAGATTGGTTTCAGAAAAATGGCAAAACCTGATTTGAGACAACACTCATTTTCAAACGCGTGAATAGCTCCGTATAAAAAAATGTGGTACTCCCGCAGTGTGTGTACCAGGCTATGGTTAGGCCATAATTTCATACCGATTCTCCTTATTTTAGTTCTATTACGAGTTCATACACTGTCTGTGTTAGCTAGATGAATATACCCCATGCCCATAGGTTTCAGACATTTCAGTCGCTCTAAACAACTTGATGTAAAGAAGGCAAACAAAATTAGTTACCTCCACATTGGTACACACACTTTTGAAGCGCCACAAATGTTGTGAAATTAAGACAAACAGGGAAGAATCATTGCGTAAGACAATAAATAGAAGAACTCAGTCGTTTATTATTACCAACATTATTATGCTTCATACGTGATGATTTGGTATTACACAATGACAAAGCATATTTAATATTTGATCAACGTTCAAAAGCAAATATTGTTGGCGCTGATATTTGATTCTCCGTTTATTTTAAAAAGACAACAAGACAAGTGGGAGTTTCTGAATAACAATCTCTATTTTGGGAATTTATGTCGAGTAAGCGAATTAAGAATTTTTGGCGCTCCAGAAGTATGTGTACCAATATGGAGGTAACTAATTTTGTTCGACTACTTTACATCAAGTTGTGTAAAGGGACGGAAGCCTATGGGCAGGGGGTATATTCACTTGGCTAACACAGACACTAGTAATAGAACTAAAATAAGAAAAATCTGAATAAAATTATGGCCTAACCCTAACCAGGTACACATACTACGGGAGTACCAAACATTTGCGATGGGTTGATTAAAAATAACTCAAAAATAAAAACACGCGGAAAAAATACGCGCAAAATTGTTCCTTTATAAACAAATAGACAAATATGATATTCAAGGAGCTACACTAGACTAGACTTGTACTACCAATCAAGCTATCTATAAAAGAGTGGTAATTTGAATCCGGATTCCGAATAATTTGAAATTTTGACTCCCGCTACAACTCCGACTATACTCTTTGTTCAATATAAATAACCAAACCATAAATAACCATCGAGGCCATAATATTATCTCTCCTAGAATAGAAACCAAATCGAGACGAGTCTGGCATCGCAGACCTATTTTCATGTTGCATTTATTCAAATACCGATGCAGCAGTATTGCATTCTGTCACGAGAGACGAACTTTAGTACTTTTTGACACGAAATATTTTAATATACACGGAAAGTTGGTTCCATTTCAATTGATTTAGATGTTGTTCGCTCCAAAGGAGGCATTAACAAGCATTAACTAATATGTTTCAATTGGTTTGGGATTGTTTTTACTCATACACAGTTTTTACCTTTTTACAGCGTGGTAAGAATTTCTGGATACTTTGTACAAAAAAAAAAGGAAATATAAATTATTCAGTTAGAGTTGTGATTATGAAGGAATACTGATTGTGCTGGAAATTCGAATTTTTAAATGTTTCCTAACCCTAACCCCAACTGACTTACTAATTTGTTATTTTAAAAATGGCAGGGTAATATCAGTGAGAGGGGTACCTAGAGTCCCTTGTTTTTTTTACTCAAACGCCATTTTCACTTCTTATCTCTGAACATGACCCTGACTCACATTTCGCCCGGAAAGTGAAGATTTTAATTGAATATACCAATAGTTCACAAAGTTGATTGACAGGGGGTCAAAAGGAGAAGCGGAAGGATATTCACGGCCCGGAAGAGGTAATCACCCACAAGGAAGCGACCCGTATGTAATCCTTATATACCGGTACGTATAACTAAGATAACGGTATAATTGAATTGAATACGAATATACACGTGCTTGAACTGTGATAATGACGTAACAATTGTCGATATCTAGAACGCGAAAAGGTAAAAAAATAAAGTGTTGAACTATCTCACATAACTTCGGCGGGTCATATTGAATCGCTATGTGGGCAGTTCGGAACCACTTGATTATACAAAGGCTTATTCAAAGAGATGGAACTCATTATGTTAGGTTAGGCATTTACTTGTATTGAGCCTTGTTCGAATAGACATAAGTGTCGCATATAAATCTTATTAAATCCAATCTTTTTAAATATCAGAAAATGTCAAATTAACTTGACTCCCAGTGCCTCACTCAGAGAGAAACTCGCGGAACGCACAATAAAATTAATTACTAGTATATCCAGTTATTTTTTTAACATAAACACGAAAAAATCAATTTTATTAAAGAAAAATTGTTTACATAAAGGTAGTCGACAGTTTTCGTTAAGAATAACCGAGGCGGCTCAAATTTTTCGCCCGGGGGCACTGGCGTACGAACTTCTATGACGTCAGAAAACCAGTGGACCGGAAACATTTAGCTTAAGCTGTCATAATTATATTATCATAATGAATTTTATATCTGTTGTAGTGTGGGCCATGCATTTTCATGTGCATATCAAAAATTATCGTTTTATGCGAATTGAACGGACTTCTGAAAAGTGAAAACAAAAACTCCGCGTCAAAAACAACCCGCGCATACCACAGCAAGTAATATCGCGTGAGAAGATAAAAGCGCTTTATGCTGTAATAATGCTCGTTTCTTTTTTACGCGCCGTTTCAAAACAATGTACATTGGGAAACTTTATATACGTTCAAATATGGTATTTATATATTATATGTCATTTATACACGTTTTATGCATCAAAAAACATAAAAAAAAATAGTCGAAAATATTTAATTCTGTCTATAAATTCATACTGGGCATAGTTTATTCATTTTTACTGTTTTATAGAGTTTTATATCCATCCTAACCCAGAATATACCATGAACCCCACTTCATATGCTTACTATACCCATTTGCCCAAAGTTTTATATCTATCCTAACCAAGAACATACCAAGAATCCCACTTCATTTGCTTACTCTAACCATTTGCCCAAAGTTTTTTATCTGTCCTAACCAAGAACATACCATGAATTCCACTTCATTTGCTTACTCTAACCATTTGCCCAAAGTTTTATATCTATCCTAACCCAGAACATACCATGAATTCCACTTCATATGCTCACTATACCCATTTGCCCAAAGTTTTATATCTATCCTAACCCAGAACATACCATGAATCCCACTTCATATGCTTACTCTAACCATTTGCCCAAAGTTTTTTATCTGTCCTAACCAAGAACATACCATGAATCCCACTTCATATGCTTACTCTAACCATTTGCCCAAAGTTTTTTATCTGTCCTAACCAAGAACATACCATGAATTCCACTTCATTTGCTTACTCTAACCATTTGCCCAAAGTTTTATATCTATCCTAACCCAGAACATACCATGAATTCCACTTCATATGCTCACTATACCCATTTGCCCAAAGTTTTATATCTATCCTAACCCAGAACATACCATGAATCCCACTTCATATGCTTACTCTAACCATTTGCCCAAAGTTTTTTATCTGTCCTAACCAAGAACATACCATGAATCCCACTTCATATGCTTACTCTAACCATTTGCCCAAAGTTTTATATCTGTCCTAACCAAGAACATACCATGAATCCCACTTCATATGCTTACTCTAACCATTTGCCCAAAGTTTTTTATCTGTCCTAACCAAGAACATACCATGAATTCCACTTCATTTGCTTACTCTAACCATTTGCCCAAAGTTTTATATCTATCCTAACCCAGAACATACCATGAATTCCACTTCATATGCTCACTATACCCATTTGCCCAAAGTTTTATATCTATCCTAACCCAGAACATACCATGAATCCCATTTCATATGCTTACTATAACCATTTGCCCAAAGTTTTATATCTGTCCTAACCAATAACATACCATGAATCCCATTTCATATGCTTACTATAACCATTTGCCCAAAGTTTTATATCTGTCCTAACCAATAACATACCATGAATCCCACTTCATATGCTTACTATAACCATTTGCCCAAAGTTTTTTATCTATCCTAACCCAGAACATACCATGAATCCCATTTCATATGCTTACTCTAACCATTTGCCCAAAGTTTTTTATCTATCCTAACCAAGAACATACCATGAATCCCACTTCATATGCTTACTCTAACCTAAATGTTTATTTCTATCCTAACCCAGAACATAGCATGAATATTAAATGTTTAACCTTATTATGTTATTGTACGCCAGGTAACTCAGGATTTTGATTACTTCAAGTCCTCTTGTCTGGGAAACAGATCTTAGTCCTTTTAATCAGTCGTTTATTACAATTTTCGAAAAGCTATAAATATTATATTACAACATCACAAAGCATATTGTTGAGGTGTAATTATGACTAAACAGAGGTACAAGATGACACATAAAGGACCATTGTTACTTACAATCATTATTTATGGATCAATTATTGCTTAATAAACAATATTATAACGGCCGACCAGAACAAATGTGACTCGTCATACGAAGTGAAACATGATCTGGTTATTAACAAAATTATGACGACATAAATCAAATTCGGCTTTCATTGTTCTTTCATAATTAAATGGAACATCAATAATTGATCGATCGATTCGACTTCCCGCCATACAAGATAATAAAAGCACTCATATATATTTATATATACACATACTATATTTGCAAAACAACGATATAGACTGCGTAGACTTGAATTTTGTTTGGCTTCCTAGCATTGTATCGTCACAACGCTTTTCGATATAGGATTATTTACAGACAATAAGTAAAAGTGAAATTGGATTACATCCTGTGAAATCACAATCCTGTTGCATATTATGGCGCCAAAACAATGAAAACACTTTATGACGTTATAATAAAGTAGTAATACAGACAACATGCAAAAGTAAAAAAATTAACCTATGGTTGTGAAATCACAATATATATTTTTGAAAAGAAGCCCTAAAATTATAATGACCATCTTATAAGGTAACAATAGTTCAGTGATAGTGACGTCACATTGCGACAAAAATAATTAATTTATGAATAATAATTAGAGTAGCGAAGTAATAATGCAATACTCACGTTCTAGGTTTCGGCTTCTTCCTCTTTTTCATCGCATATTGCGTACTGGATTGCGTCACTACTTGTGACGACATCCTTTATTTCCCTGTAGCGATTTCAGATAGAAAATTCTTCGTTGTGATGTAAGAATTGATTATAAAATCCTTAGATTTCGTAATCCGTAATGTCGGAGAAAATTTGTTTTGAAAAACTTTCAAGTTGGCAGCATTAACTACGCATAGATCTGTGTTAAAATATACGAATATGAGGTGAAAATTCTGCCACAAGTCAGCCAAGCATAGAAGAACTTCGTTATGACTTGACACAGGTTAAAATAGTGATCGAGGTGGCAGATACGTGCTAGAGCGAAGTCGCTTGTACCAAGATGCTTATAACACGGATTTGGATATGCATTCATTCATACGGGCTTTGTTAGCTCATGGGTAAAGCGTTCGACTCAACTGTGATATCGCATGTTAAAAATTGCGGGTTCATCACCTCACACAAATTAAATAGACGTTAATGCCGAACTACAAAGATTCCTGCCTTTCTAATAGGTAGAGCGAGGCTACTCATCTGGCTAGTCGCGGTCCGAATCCGTGCCTTTCGAGTATTCGATTCGGACCAAACCTAATTCGTGATTTCTGACCTTGGCTCCATTTTAGATATGTGACAGTTTATTAAAGTACTTTTATAGTTTTTGAGGTTATTCTATATTTTGCTCCCGACGATACAATGTGAATTACGCTATCTTGATTATATATAGCGAATAATTATTAGCCGGCCGAGAATGTAGAAATAAAATTTCTGGAAAGTAATTTTTCAAAGTTTTTCATACTGATCTTTTGTAAAAATAGTTGAGTAGCTCTGATGTACAGTCTCTGCATCTAACAGTGGCTTATTGTACATACCTTTGGTCGAGTTGAAACAACGTGTGACAATACGAATAGCTATACCTCTGTAAGATGTGTCTGATTAACTCGTCCCACTGATATTAACCGCCTGGATTGGTGAATGGACGAGAAACGTTGTTCTCTGTGCTTTACAGCAGAGGTGTGCAACCTGTGGCCCGCGGGCCAAATGCGGCCAACAAGGAAAAATTGCTCGGCCCGCGAGAAAGTGCATAATTTGAATTGTGTGCGCCCTACGAAACAAGTTTCTAATGTAGTTTAAATCCCGTACGTGTGAGCAATTCCAATCCCTTTGCGTTGCAAAGCATATACCTAAGTCTAATATATTATCTATGCCTATGACGTTACAATGCCCTAGATCTGTGGATCCCAAACTTTTTGATATCGTTACACCTAAATCGAATTACCAAAAGCTCAATTACCCCTGTCATAAAAATGCCGTATTCACATTGTTTTTTTGCCAACAATAGCGATACTAACGCCACCTATTGCATCATCCGATTTTATAATGCTAATTTTGCACTAGCTCAGCGACTAGATTAATAGGCTCACTGGTTAGATACGAGCAATGAATGTTTAGATTTTTCGTAGACTTGTCAGAAGTAGGTACGGGTTCACAAAAGAAATTGTAAAAACAGTGACTGTCTGGATTACCCCTGAAATTGCCAAATTACCCCCAGTTTGGGAACCACTGCCCTAGATTGTGAGAAGCAAACAGCACATGTCATGAGATCAATACTCGAATGAAACTATTTTTGGTGCCTGCAACTACTAGAAAGCGTGCGGTTTCACACAGTTTTTGTTTTTTGTATCTTGCCTTCCTGTATTAAATGGTTGCACCCCTGCTCTGCATCTGTAAGGTGTTATAGACACGATGACGGAGCAATCCATTTTTCACCTGTCATTTCGATACCGTACTTATTACAGACACTTTAATGTTGAGTTTTTTTTTTTATTGAAATGACAAATAAAAATAGTCTGATTCTGAATATCCTATTCTAAGTCCTATATCACATTCACGAGTTTCGATCTACATCGTTTCGCTGGACCAAATTGAACACTGTCTATATTCTCCTTTTTTCATTTCTAAAACTGTTAAATCCACTTTCTAATAACTTGCCCTGGTCGTTTTGAATTGAATTGCTTTAAATCTGGCAACAATCGCCATTTTCATGTTGCTTGAGATATAGCTCCAGTGTTTTTTTTATATATTATATAAAAATACAGTGTTTTCTATATTTTATATATAGCTTCAGTGTTTTTAGATTGTCAGTAACAGACTCCGTAACTTTGCTCAGATCTGAGTTTACTTCACTTCTGATTGAGTGAGCTCTGAGTGACTCCCTGAAGTCTATGATGAGCAGGGGCGTGGCCGTTCTAAACTATTCTGTTGGCCCGGGCGAGTTTCAGATAATGATGCCCATTATACCTAACTTTCAAAAGTAATTCGAGGGATAAACAAATTAGAGATGCTGTTACACATGAGAATGAATAAATTGAAGGTCAAGAAAAAGCGAACTGTTTGTATTATTAATAATTGAATCATCAAGCTAAGCAACAAACTCACATGCATAAGATTATTCTCATTTAACTACTACCAAACAACGTACTGCCCGGGCGTCCTTACACCTCAAACCCTCCAAAGGCCAATTCCTGATGAGGGATAACTGATATTCTTCTTAAAGGAAAACTTATGTGCCCTAGAATTCCATATAGTTACAGTAGCATCTGGCATCCCGGTGGTTGCCGCCCGTAACTGTTCTGAAATATGATTCTCCGTTATTTCTGAGTAAGTACACTTGACCTTGCCTAGAACAACTCCTAGGAAATACAATTTATAAAAGTGTAATACCAGATTCTCAAACTGTCCATTTACATTATTAGACTTAGCCAAGCACGCGCTGATAATGCCAAAGCAAAACCTGGCAAGCATTTAGCAATTACATAGATGCCAAGTAATTGATCACGTAGTGAATAATATTCGTGAATTCTGAGTAATATCGCTAGTAATTGGAATTGTACCAGCCCTTGTCCTGAAGAAAACGGTTTTGGCGCCTTTATTATGAGGATTATCCACGGCGTTTGCCCGAAACAAGGATACGCACAAGCACCACTAATATCCGATGATATGTACCTAGCCCTGTTTTTGGCAGGCTGGAATAAATTGCGCAACTCTGGTCCAGAACCAATGCCAGAACTGTTAGAAAATTCAGTAAGCTCATACATAAATGTAGACAGCCAACTAATGAAAATACCAGGAATCAAACCGGAATAAACAGCCTCCTTTTAACCCCCCAAAACACACACACACACACACGCGAATTCAGAACCTGATAGTATGTGTCATCTCCAAGATAAGGCTCTTGACGACCTCATTTCAAAATAAATAGTAATATCGTGTAACAATCCAATTGTTAGCATTGGCGGCGGTGTTATTATTTGTCAGGGCAATGGCTATAAAAATGGGTCGCGAATAGAGCAATGCCAATAAAAGTAGGTAACTGAAAAAGTAGTAAACTGACTAATGTGGGGTAGCACTGTCCCAACCTAACATGAAATAAAAAGAATCAAAGAAGACCTAACGAAACAAGTGTCGATAAATAACAACCCTAACCTATTCTAACTACCATATTCTAACCCTGACATGGTCAAACTAAAACCCGCGGGCCAAATTCAGCTCGTTGAGTAGTTTAATCTGGCCCGCCTAATGCTGCCACGCCAAACTGAAACCAAATTTAGATGTTTTAGCTAAAAATAGCTCAAGAAATTTGTTGCGATTGCGATTAAATTTAGTTTTGCCACGAGGCGTATTGTTTTCCACTTTTGCTTTTGTAACACTGTAAATATTGCTCATAAAATGTAACTCTTTACGTCACATTCACATGGCTCGCCAGTCTGTGTGCGCGATAATTTTGAACCCTGGTTCAAAGACCTTGCTCACCCCTGCCTAACCTGACAAAACGGAATCAAATCGAATCGATCAAAAACAAGTTGTATTTCAATAACTGATAGTACAAATTTTCCTATGCATTCAAAATGAGACTAAACTAAAATTCTACATTGGAAAGCCTAAAAGCCAACGCTTGTACCTTTCTGACGCCTTGATCAAACTAAAATACCTAGCCTTGTTATTCTAGAGAGTGAGACAAAAAAATGATAATTTTTAATAAAGAAACTAAAAATTTTATCATGCTCATTCTCTCTCGTTTTTGTATGTGCGTTCGCGCTAGTGTTTATTTAAGCATTGAAAGTAATTCAACCGCATGTACGAATGCGCGTGCTCATACACTCGTTCAGGCTGGATTTTCGAATCGACCCGAAAGATATAAAGCTGGCTTCGACGGGGTTTCGGGGTTTGGCCTATTTAATAAATTAGGGGCAAAGTTGTGGGTTAATTGAAACCTCCGCTACCTCACCTTGGGTGTAACAAATTGGGTAAGCAGTACTGAACTGGAGGGATTCCAATTATCTGGGATGAGTTATCTTTATAAGTTATTTTAAGGTGTTTTTGATTAGAGATGTTGCCATGTACAATTTATGGTCGTCTCATACAACTTTCGTGTCTATTGGATGCTACATGTGGTTTATGGTCGTCTCCTATAACTTTTGGTGACCGTACATTTGAACCTACGTACATTTGAACCCATGTGTATATCCGCGGGTTCAATCTATATGTGGGTGCTAAAACCCATGGGTTAGGGTTAGTATGGGTTCAAATATCCGCGAAACAAAAAAATTTCCATAGGTGCAATAGTATGCCGGTGCAATTGTCGTGGGTTCAAATGTACGGGAACCATAACTACTTTCATGTCTATTGGGTGCTGTATGTGGTTCAGCTGCCAAAACCATACTCATATATATTAAAAGTGTTGTAAAAACTTAATTTCTGACCTTAGAAATTAAATTAGATATTGAACTTTGGTGTCGCTGCTCGATAACCAATCCTGGTTCACCCGCGACATTCCTTCCCCAGTAAAAATGTGTGTTCAGTTTTGTTTCGTCAATTTCGTATGTTATTTTTTACTGGATGGTAAAAATTGAACTTGACTAGGACTATGGGAAAAATTGCAAATCTTCAAATAATTGATCAGTGCGTGTTTGTACCAAGCCTTGTTCATAGTGGGATTGTGAACAGGCCTACCATTTTTCATCCTGCCAATATACCAGGGGCCAAAATTTCGCCCACTTAGAGTGACGGGCCATGTGATTGTGACGTAGAAAGTTACCTTTTATGAATAATTTTTACAGTGATACAAAAAGCAAAAGTGGAAAACAATAAGCCTCGCAATCTCAACAAATTTCTTGAGCTATTTTTGAGCTGAAACTTTA